GGGTGTAGGGGGCTGGCTTGGCTGGCCCTGTTCTGGGAGGTTTGGGAGAGACTGTCATGTGAGAGGCTGCCTGCACGCGTAGTTTTGCAGTAGGCAAGCCCAGGAGATTGTTACCTTAGGGAGAGGAGAGATGGCAGCATGCCAGCAGGGAGCAAACTCAGTGACAGTGAGTGCAGGCAGGGGAGTAGAAACACTGGCCGCCTTGCCAGCACCAGGACTGGCTGTGTCCTGCATGGCACAGAGCCGGGGACTAGGCTACCTCTGACCAGCATGGCAGGGCAGGGCTGGGAAGGGGGTTATTTCCAGCCTCTCAGCTTCTGGACTCATGCTCCTCTCCTTTAACACACTTTTCTCATGCATCTTCCGTGGGCCAGAGATTCGCTTCATACTGCAGGCATTGCTCCAGGTTAATAAAAAAAAAAAAAAAGGAAACAGAAATGCAGCCTTTGGGGATGTTAAAACCTTGCTGATCCTATGTCCAGCCTTCTGCAAGTTGAAAGTGAAGTGTTGATGCTGTTGGGGCCCAAGCCAAGGTGTTTCCTTGAATTTCCCCTGCTTACCACTTGGATTTGCTGGGAGGTTGTGCTGCCGCGTGCAGGTGTTGGGAGAACCACTGGTGCAGCATGGAAAAAAACCCCATCTCCAGCTAGAGCGGGCAGGTGAGCCAGCACTGCTTGGTGCTGGCTGGAAAATCCCAGGGAACACTCAGCTTCAGGGTGGCTGCTTGGCAGCAGGGGAAAGCCACAGCATGGGCAGTGCTGGGAGGTTTCCCCCGAGATAAGCAATGCTGCTGAGGACTGCAAAATATTGAACTCCTCCTTTGCCTTCTTGCCTTGCCCAAGAGGACTGGGTTCTGCGTAGTGGGGTCAACCCTGGGAGTTTCCCATTTGGGTTATTTCTCCCTCTGCACACTCCTCTCGTTTCTTCTGCTTTGCTGTTGTCTCCCCGTTTTGCTCTGATGGCTAAGCTGGAGACTTGTGCCAAAGACACTGATATGGTGAGTGGCAAGCAAGGGCCAGAAGCATTTGGTCCTTGGTGGTGGTCTCTGGGGAACAATCTGCTAAAAGGGGAGCTCAGATGTCCGCTGGAATCCTGACCCAGCTTCTAGCTTGCAAGATCACAGAAGCAGAATGGAAATTG